ATAATTCTGTTAGCGACATCTGATGAATATTCAATAATATTTATCAGGGTCAGTGTTGCCAACTAGAACAAATGTCGCTAGACAGAAGTTTTAGAAGTCGCTATATAATAAAAGCGGGATTCAAAACAAAGTACATATATGCCAAAATCTAACAGAAGCCATGCTTGTAACAGCAAAGTTACCTCTGGCAACCCTAATACTGGGTATATTAAATTACTCAATTAAAAAGATCATCTTTTGTATATTTTGGTTGAGTGGGTATGAGAAAGTAATGTGGAACTGTGTTACATTAATTTCGTAATTTCCGACAAGCCAGAGTGATATAATGTCTCATCTTCGCGTGTAATGAATTTGTATTAATAACTTTATGTGTGATATGTAAATGGGATTGTTTCCATAATTCCACAAGTACATGTGGTTTACTCTAATTTACGCTTTATCTAGAATGAAAGCAAAGCACAAGTCTGGGCATTTCTGCTATGGAAGTGCTCATCCGCCCGCGACGGGTCCACCGTCCACTCGGACAACAGCTGGAAGCTATATCAGCAATGGTGTCGTATGGCCGAGCCGCAACGCACCGCGTGGATCACCGCAGGGGCCAACGTCCAGGCCCTGTCGAAGTTTGCTCATGCCAAAGTTGTAAGTATATAATTTATGGATATTTTGACTATTAAGATATAAGGGATATTTTGTGGTAAGGCAAAATTACCTTGCGACAAAATGTCTCTTAGAACATTTAAAATTTCCACCCTTATATGGATAAGAGTAACAATTTCGTCGATTAATCGAATTTTGAAATTTCGTAAGCGACATTTTGTAGTAAGGAATATTTTCAAATTTCCACTGTTGACAAAGAATGATAAAGAGTGTTAATAATTATTAATACAAAGATCGAACACAAAGAAAAATTCCTTCGATCTGACAGGACTCAAATCTGCGTCTCTGCTATACCAGGGCGACCGCTCTACCGACTAAGATACATAACAAGTTATCAGACCTTACGAATTTTTCTATGCCTTTGTTACATATTTTTGTTTTTGGTTTTAACGACTTTTTTCTTGTAGCGCCACCTGTGACAAATCTCTGAAAGTATTTTCTTCACTCAACCAGGTATCTTTACAGCTACATGCTGCTGCAAACTAGTGGAGTAATTTCACAAAAAAATATGTTGTTGGTAAAACATCGTAATATTCATTATAATCAATATTTTGTTTTTATGTTTTATGGTATGGTAGACAGATAGGTGTTCATTTACTACAATCTTACATGTCTGATTGTAGTTATAAGTAAGTAAATAAATAATAATAATTACCTACTTTATTGCAATAGACGCAGAAGCCAGTCCAAAGTTGGGCTTAGTTTTCAAAGTAGGCTCTCTTATACTGTCGGTTACAAGATCTTATGTCCATTACACTTATTGCCTTAAAACGACAATAATGAGTATATTGCAATAATTTTATAATATACATACATATAATAGTACCAAGAAGTAGTAGGTAGAACACAAAAAGAAGGTGGCTTACATTTATCTTTGGGCACATGGATTGTCATTTTTATTATAAAAAACCATGGTAGCCAATTGCTTCACAGACTCTTAAGCAGAGGCCATGGGTTCGAATCCGTGCTCGCGTCTCTGAGTTTCTCGGAATTTATGTGCGAAATTCGATTTGATATTTATCATCAGCTTTTCGGTGAGGGAAAACGTTGTGATGGAACCAGCACGTCGAAAAAGATTTACATTCCTCCGAAAACTTGTGAAGTCTCCAGCCCGCATTGGACGAAATGAAACGGAATGAAAGCTTTATTCAAATATCTAAGCCGTCTACGCGTGAAAACGGCTCACCGGCTGCCTTGTTGTCATTCAGTCAATGTGACCGGCAATGTGCGGGGCGTGGTGTGGTATCTAAAGCTAGGGAGGGGTGGAGAGTGTCCGTTCTCTTTACTTTTTGTTCTCTGTCTAGAGATAAAATTATCCCTGTGACATTTCGGACCGTCTCGGATTCGGAACTGATACGAATTGGACATGGTGAGACGTGAAAACCTGAGTAGGTAGTTATAACTGAATGTGATCTGTTATATTCACTACACACTAACATAAAAGGAAACGTAGGTATGGATGGAGTAAACGTGTATATACATATAGGAGAACGTGAAAGGCATGCTTCATTGGTATCCTTCATTTGCATCAATGTGTTTGGGCAATAAAGCAAAATCAGCATTGTCAACTACATTTTTCAGATGGAATTGAAGACTGATGACCAGCAAGTACCTGTACAAACACCAACCATTGAGAAGAAACCTCGTGGCCGACCAAGAAAAATTAACAAAATCGTAAGTTCATTCATTTCAGTGCTACATGTTTGCCTAAAGTTAAACAACAATTTTTTCATCATAAAATCTACTATTTATTGTTAATATTTGCTGTACAATCTTGTTGCATACACAAGATTGCACAGCTCTGTTATATCACAGTATCTGTTACATTACAAGACAATTTCAATTATTGTCAGTGTGTGGCGTGAGACGCCGTGAAAACATTGTAAAATGTAACTTAGTAGACTAAAATGTTTTTTTTAGAAGTACATTTACGCCGAAGTACTTAGTCGGTTGCTCACTTCTGTCATTAAAGAAAAAGTATTACGTAACAATACATTACAAATACTTGACGCCCTTTTCCGATCGGGGTAGGCAGAGACAATACAGCCTTCCATTTGCTACTATCTTGACACACATCCTTAGCCTCATCAACACGCATTAGTGCGTTCATATACGTTCGTCGGTTTAGGGTACTCTTGACCTGACCCTTCTTTAGAACGACCTCAATTTTGTCATGATATATATTTATAGCAGGTATGGTTGAGTATTTCCAATAGATTTGACTACTACATTGGGGTCCGGAAATTGACGGCTCCAAAGTAATTGAACTTTTTGTGATATTAGGAAAAATCTATAAGTGCATCCCGAAAACAAATCACGAACAAATATTTACCAGGACTTTCGATTTTTATTTGCACTATTTTTACTTAGAGGATGGAAAAAAATAAAGGAAAGGAGCTGCCCTATCTACGGGATAAACGTCCCTACCTAAACCAAAAATGTCCACCACAAATGGCGGATTTCATTAGTGTTGTACCATAATCATCGATAAGTCAATATCGACATGCAAATGTATGGCTTGAATGTTAAAACTGTTTTTTTTTTATTATGTTTATAATTTGTATAGTTTACTGTAATCAAAGTATTATTAAAATTTTTAATTAAAGTAGATCAATATTCATTGTCATATGGGAATATCCAAGATGATAGATATGAGATTGTGAATTTATTATTTTGCATTTATTATATTACGAAAAATAATATAAATCAGGAGATCTCTATGCATTCTAGAAGTATTTGGCTGTACTATTGGCTGTAGAGTAAACAAGTATTTTTGCAATACATACTGGTCGAGCCTAGGCCGCCGCGAGCGCAGCAAATTGATATACAGCTAGTGCTGTTGTCAACACGCTCGACAAGTTTGAAAAAGAGCATTACAAACGGCCATTGTAGATGAGTTTTGTGTAGCTGGTCACGTTGGTCGCTGTCAGTTATCATTTACATTGAAATGATATGGATGACGTACAAGTTATTGCAGCTGCTGGTAATTATTATTGGGCGCCTATAATTATTACGTCAGTGCATCTAATACATGTTTTATAATCTATATTATAATAATTTATTATATAAATATAATAGATGTATAGTTATAAATAAAAAAAAAAAATGTTAGAGTTGTCAGTGGAAAAAAATCGGAAACGAGTGGATGGTTTTAAGGAACTGAGAATGTCTAGTAATGTCTCTTGTTTCCTCAAAATTAAATATAAAATTATTTACCAATAAATACTACGATGGAATTGCATTATCATGTAATCTAGTTACATTCAAAGTTCTATTAAAATTTGACTCTTAAAAATAGAGCGAACAAAGGAAGGTGATATTTGATCCAATGTTTATGTTCGGTAATCCTATAATTTCCAATCATTCTTTGTTTCTTTTTTCATTTAAACGTATTTTTTCGTTATTATTATTTTTATTTTAAGGTAAACTTTAAAAATAAAAATAATAATAATGAAAAAATAAATACCTCGTAGTAAATTGTTTTAATAACAGAATATCGATAATATGTCTGATTACAAGAACAACACGATCTTAAAATAATCGTTATCAACAATTTTATTTTCAAAACATACTAACAAACAGGCAATCTAAAGTAACCAAAGCAAAATTTCTGCAAGACTTATGAATAAACTACATAAATGAGTCTAATTACATGAGATATTTGGGCTATTGTATGATTTATAGACAAAAAAATAACACATGCTGGTGTAATGTAACATTTGGTTGATTGCCGCCTTTTCTACTACCGCAACGAGGCATTTTAATTAATACTTAATTGTTCTCACTGTCAATATTTTTGTCCAAATGGCAGAAAAACTTTTTTATTTCAAAAACATTTTATTGCACTTTATTTGTTTCTACAGTTACATTGATTTGATTTTTTGTAAAAGATATCAGTTTTTTACATAATAATAATTCCCTGTCTAAGGAATGTTTTTTATTTAAAATTGAACTTTAAAATGGTTGGGGAATTTGTAAACCATAGTAAACCAAAAACGGATAGGTTTAGAAGTTCCTTTGGTAAGTACGTTCGGAAAGTGCATACAATAGCCCTTATCGCTTAGAACCGAACGCCTTTTGTCCCGTACACTCCTCATATGCACCTGAACGCACTGTTGTCAAGATCAAACAAAACCATTGTAGGACCTATGTTGCGGGTTAGGCCGCTATGCCTTTAGTGATTTCAACGTATTTAACTTGGGGGAAAAACGCCTACTTACACCCTTTGAGAGTGCGCAGAAATGCGCTACTATTACAATAAGCGCTTTTTTTTTTCAAGTTAAACATTTGTTAAAATCACTAAAAGCAATGACGAACTGAGCTGCAACATAGTTCGTACAGTGGTTTTATTTGATCTTGATCCAACAATCCCAAGGCAGGGTCAAACCTAGGTCGTCGTGGCGAATGTCCCACGGCGCCGACTCTACCGGCGAGAGGGAAACCCGGGGGGGGGTTTTAGTGGGGTAGGCCCTCCAGTCTGGAGGGAGAGTCCCCACATAACCCCTGAGTCTCCCTGGGCTCAGAGGTATCCATAAAGATTTCCCCCGTCAAAAAAAAGGGTCAAAACAAATCAAAGTCTGTGTAAATATATTATGGATATCGTTTTTTGTAAAGAAATAAAATATTCAATTGGTACATTAGTCAAGCGGAATGTTGGGGAAATGCGAATCGGGACACAAATAATCTGTCGATATGTCAAAATATTGAAACATGGTGCAATGATAAAATATTGAAAACAATTATAAAAAGTGTTTTCTACAAAAATAAAAATGTGGTCAATAGAAACCAAAAAATATTCGGAGAAACAAAATTTTGTAGATCATTTTTCTAGCTTGTGACAGATTACCCACTTACCCACAACCACGCAAGGAGACTTATTTGTTGATGGTCTAAAGCTACTCTGTTGCAGGATAATCAACAGATTATGTGGTATATGGAAGGAGATGTATGTGCCATGAAACATCCCACCATTCCTGCTACTTTACTCTTTCTATCTGGGCTTGCTTATTTCACACTCCACTAATCGCCACTTTTCACAGTGTGTAATTATCGCTCGCCTACACTAAAAACTGATACGTGTATTTATTCATTTGTCAAGAAATTGCCAGTGACTTTTGTGTGACAGAACCGAGGAACCGATTAGGTATGCTATACACGCAATCTTTTTTGGGAAAACTTGTTAAGTCGTCAGTTTCATACATGTTCAGTCCTACAATTTTTGCTTGTAGGAAGATTCGGAGACTCAGCCGTCTGGCGAAGACAGTGACAGTCACCTTAAAACTAGTCCAGCACAGAAACTCTTAGTAAATAAAGTACCTGCTCAGAATGCCAAAAAGGTACTTTTCATGTTCTTTAAAGAACTAGCATTACAGTCTATATTTGTATATTGTATTTATTTATTGTATATTTTGATGTAGTGTTTAAGAACTAGTCCTATGTTGTAGACTTGTTACATAACGTGTATATTATTTATTAACTATTGACGTTTTGAAGTGTAGTTCGCTATTGCTAATTTATTATTTATTTTGGACCACCATGACACATGGTACATGTAATTGTTACCTGATACAAAGTTATTATGGCTTTTATTGTTATTATTATCCAAAAAAACTAACTAATTTGTTTCTTATTCGTTTGTCTGAATTACATCTAAACAAACATTGAGTGTGGAGATAGATAGATATACAAAGGTCACCCACTTTTGAACACGTTAAAGCACTGCAGCTGTATTTAAGCGCACACTGTAAATTTGATTCCAATATAGGCGTGCGCAGTGGTAAAAGTGAAGTTTGATCCTAGTATAAAATATATATTATAACATACAGGGTGTTAATTTACAAACAAACTATTTCATCCCGAAATCGCGAATATAATATCAACAGTTCATCATGAAGACAGAGTTTATAGCCATAATACACTTTAAAAGCCTTAGTAGAAATTTCGTAGTAAATCCGAAATATCCTTTCTAGTATCGTAGTAAAGCGAGTAACAATTCTTACAAGGAAAAATTTACTTATTGTGTTGCAGTGGCGAGGCGTCTACCACCGGCTTGCCTAAAATTTTCCACGTATTACCAAAAGACTATACTAGACAGCACGCATACGCCACCACTTAAAAAACGTATATTTAATGATAATCGTGTAATATCTTGTCCTTGGTAATACTGAGTACTGTAGCTTCCCGATGGATTCCAGCCAATCACAGCGTATGACAAGCTGGCCTTAAATGTCGCCAATTGGCTTTTTTAACGGGAAAAATAGTTTTTGTTAAAGTAAGTGTTTTTTGTCTTGCTCCGGCTTTACTAACGACAATTTTCACGCCTCGCCACTGCCATGTTAAGTTGTGCATAAAGTTAACTAGCCCCACTAACTGCGGGTAGTATTTTTTGAAGCGTGTATAAATTTTTCATGAGAATACCTGTCAATACAGCAGGAACTCATGGATAAGGACAGTGTGCGCCTAGCTCAAGAGCGGGTTCCTCCTGAAGATCGCATCGCGCGGCGTACGGAACGCGAAGGTGGCGATCCCGCGGACGCCGGCGAGTTTGTCGTCGAGAAGATACTCGCCAAGCGATTCAACCCTAGGCGAAAGCAGTATGAATATCTGCTTAAGTGGGAGGGATATCCGCAGTTAGTATTCTGATCCACTCATTTCATAACGACTGATTGAACTTGGCATGGTAAAATAAGTTTAATTTACAAGTTTACCGGACATACCTTCGTTGACCGCAGTGAACAGAACACGTGGGAGCCAGTCGAAAACATGGAGACTTGCAAGCATCTCCTTGAAGCATTTGAGAAACAACTAGCGCGACAGAAAGAGCTGAAGGCGTTGAGGGCTCAGCAGCAACAACAGGCGCCTGTCCAGGTAAATTTGAAATTTTTTTCGAGCTATTATATGAAATTTTATACGATTTCAAAAATATGTCTTTCTAGTTCTTTTTCTTGCCACGTTGAGACAACAGGCACTGGTTCGAATACAGTCGAATTAAGGGAATTTTCTTTGACTTTCGATCTAATATACATAACAAACTAGTGGTAGTAGTAAAAGCACGTGATATTCAATAAAAATAAATATTCTTTTTCTTTTTTAAGGTATTTTCTGTCCATTCAATAGTTGGTTAGACCTATTTCGACCATATTCAATCTGAGCTATAATGCATTGTTGAACTACTCCCAATTCCCAAGGCGTAATATTATGTTTTATTAAGCATGTATTACTGAGAAATATCAAACATGAACCAAGAAATAAGCTTGATTCAGTGCGATTATATTCCTAATTTATGTATAACATAATAAAGTTAATGCAGTAGCAACGTAAAATAGCTAATACATAGGACAACATCTAAACTATGTAAATGTGGAACAGGTAAAACAAGTGAGCACTCCTCTACCACAGGTCGTGAAGCAGGTAGTGAAAAAGACAGAGAGCCCCGCGCTAACGCCCACTGGGTAAGTAATAACGTTACTAACACAGATCTAATGTTACGACTAATTTAGGTAGCTATAAACATTACAAATAGGTATACAACAGTGTCAGTAGATCTCCTTGTGAAAGAGTTCGTCCAGGGAAGTACTGCCGCCTAGTAATGACAGCGTTACTGTTTTCCGGTTTTGAAGGGTAATGGTGCTGGTGAAATTACAGGTCAACTTATGTCTCAGGGTGACGGGCACAGTAACAGCGCCTCTTAGATCTTTGCGAGATCTGAGAGGCAAATCTCTCAGATTCATCGCGTCACTTGATATTGTACAAAAAATACAGCAACATCAACCTATTTATACGTCCAACTGCTGGGCATGGGTCTCCTCTCAGGCGAGGGTTTAGGCCATAGTTCGCCACACTGGCACTGGCACAATACGGGCTAGGGACTTACGTTTTCCGAGAGCTGTAAACGTTCTTCGACGTGCAAGTTTCATCACGATGTTTTCCTCTATCGAAAAGCTCATGATTTGCAAATCAATTTCGCGCATAAATTCCGAAAACTTCAGAAGCTAACCCAGATTCAAACGCTCAGCCTCTGCTAGAGAGGCGGTATGTGAAACTATTAGGCAGCCACGGCTTTTTAATAGGTTTAAATTTATTTTTAATTCATCATCACTTCACCTACAACTGAGTATAGGTCTCCTGTAGCTTGTGCAATCTCTTATGTTAGGCTCATCCTTGTAAGGCCCGCGATTTCGCCGATGTCTGCTATCTCACTACAGAATGTCTCACGTACCTGCATCGAGTATATAACCAGAAATAGAGACGAAATAATGACCATTCATTTCTGGCAACTCATCAGGCACATTTGCCTTTTCTTACATCACTTTTAAATATCAACTCTCGTTTGCGCTGAAATCACAAATTAGAAAGCTGAAATAGTACAGCGCCAACGACTGACCTGTGTGTACGTCTCCGAATATTCCAAAAATATTTTGTATTTATTGTAATAAAGATAATATCTCTAACACTGGGGGCTGTTCCATTCGGTGTTGTGGGAAAAACGGCAAAACATTTAATTACAAAACAAACGGAATCACATTTCATACATGTAATTTTGCAATTTTCGTCCATTATAGTTAAGCTCAAGTTAAACTGGTCGATCTGAAGTGAAACAATTGATGACTGATGTAATGTAATGTAATGATTTGGCAGAATAGTTTTCAAACAAATTAAATGACATTTCGTCTCTATTTCTAGTTATATACTGCGTACCTGTAACCGTTGGTTACCATTCTGTTGTCTATTTATTCACAATATATGCCCAGCTGTACTTTCCTCCAATCTGTTCTCGTTTCTCTTGGACCATAGTTCATCTTGCGTGACGCTTTCAATTGCTCCTGTGCAACTCTCATTTTATATACAGCCTTCTGTGTGTTTCTTTTTAATGCGTCCAGTTTTAGATTAACTTAAGCGAAATATATTTTTAATTGGATTTTATTACTAGCAATCTTAGCATTTCAATTCAGAAAGGGTTTTGACAGAGACTTCGTTGAACCCGAGGCGCTAGGAAAAAGAAATATGTACTGTACGCATGAAATATTGATTGTTGAGGGGTGGTATTATTTCCTACAACCACAAAGAATCGTAGCAACTACTATCGACATGCCACCTGAACTAATAAATGCGTGTCACCAAAACACCTACTTCACAGTAATATACAAAAAGTAAAAACTCCTGATGAATTTATTCCTAAAAATGCATGACGGAAACGATGGAAATAAATTGACCTGTGTTTTTACGTCGTATATTTTTAACCGACTTCAGAAAAAGGAGGAGGTTCTCAATTCTATTGTATTTTTTTAATGTATTATTTTACATGATAACTCATGAACTATTACTCATATAAGTCATGAAAAATTTATGAACCGATTTTGATGATGAATCTGAATCTCAATTTAAATTTGAAGAAAATATTTCACCTCTAAGGGTGTCAGACTAAGTAATGAATCCGGTTTCGCGCACTTTCCGATAACCGATTTCAATGAAACTTGGCAAATAGATGTAATTCAACAAACTTTTGAGGTCGGTTTTTTTGATACTCTGTACTGAGATTAATCCTTTAAAAAATTAGGTTTATGATAGATAATAATAACAATATACCCTGAAAAATTTAATGTTTATTGGGGGATGTCGCTGTATCGTCTCTCTTACGGCGTTAGCATTGTCAGGTGATAGTGTACTTATGAGAGGGTTGATATGTGTAAACTTGTTTTATTGGTCTAGAATAAAAAATACATACAATTTTTAACACTTGTAACTAAACACCGACTCACAAAATCATACATATCATACATTTACCAATAGACAAACTGGTTCGCTCATTTGGTACTACAATGACGCAATTGTACTTCTTATAATGTTTCAGGAAATAGATTTGAAGTGGTTTTATACTTTTTTTTTCTTCAAATTTATGACGTGAGAATAAAACTCTTGTTGTATTTTTACAATATATATAAAATTACCGCCGATTTTTCTTAAAACGTAAACACTTATGTTACAGATGTATTAACATAATGCAATTTTGGCTAAATTACAATAACGCCAATGTAGCACCAAATAAGCAGTATGTTGTTCAGTTTCTTTTCTGGACTCAGCCTCATAGGACCTTGGCGGTTTAGAAAACGCTAAATATATTTGTTTCTTAGACGTCTACAACGAACAAGCAAAGTACGAGCACTGGATCAAGTGAAAGCGTGGTGTGGCGCTGAAGATGAGCCCGCCGCTAAGAGAGTCAAAAAAGAAGTCTCCAGTGACGATGAAGATTATTCCGACCCTGATTCTAGAGGTAACACACATATACCATTTTCTTTGCCACCTACGAATTTGGCAAATTGTTTACTTAAACGTAGTCAAATCAAATAAATTATAAAAACAATTGAAATCAAGTTAATGAATAAAACACTGGTTGATAATTTGCGTTAGGTCTAAAATGAAAGTAAAAATTAGACAAATAAAGTTGCATGATAAAGTACTTAAATGGTAAAGAAAACTACAGAAATGATAAAATTTGCAGTTGACAAGAAAGTGGTGAACGGACAGACGTCGCCAAAGACGACTCTCGACCCCGAGCTGGTGAAATCACTCGGGCTCGGCGGGAAGGGCATGCCCAACATCAAGGGCGTCATCAAAGTGGACCCTAAGCATATGCCTAACCTCTCCACTGGTCAGTCCGACGAAGTACCATTATTAATTATAACATGTCATTTGCAAGTGTTTGGAAATGGCTACGGTTTAGTTGTCACCAAAAGTCTATAAACCTTTTGACCGCCACTAACAAAAACTACTTTGTTTCCTAAGCAAGTCCAGTGATGTGACGTGTTATGAATTTTAAACTTATATTAATTCAATTATCTTAAAGAAAAACATAACTGAACGTGAAATGCAACTATGAATCCACTTACTAGAATGTACAAATGACACATAGTTTTATTGACGCTTTAGAGCGTCTATGGCGGGCAAAGGGCAAAAGGCCATAATATTGGCTATCTTGAGGGTTACATTTTGAAGCATCAGTGACGTGGCGCCATTACATCCTTGTTGCAGTAATGACTTCCCTTTCTCGCAACGTTTCGTCAATGACACGATGCTCTAATGACCTCAAGTGTTCTAGTTCCTATGAATGATACTGATTTTCAACCGAAGCCACCTTGCGCCATTGCTGCTTTGAAATAATCTTTTCGCATAGACCTTTGATTTGCCAGATGCGTGCTAATTATATGCATTCCAATATACTTTGTGTAATATGGTTCTAAATATTACATGGATGGAACGTCACTCTTATCGTGCCGCACAAAAGCCAAGCAAATGTCATTGTCTTAATTTGTATTAAAAATCTTACTTCGGTTTCATATGTATAGTAGCCAACTTGCGTGTTGTGTGCACTCTTTTCGCCTACATCCTATTAATATGCTTATTTTATTTACTAATGTAACTATTATTTTACACTTAGCAGCTGGTATGAACCATTTATCTATCTGCATTTTATTCATTTTGTAGTAATGCCTGATCTTCCACATGGTTTAAGGAACTGTGTAAGTCACCTGTATTATACAGTAATAGATAAGACACGGAGAACACAAGCTGTACCAGTATATCAATAGTGGGGCAAAGGTACATTTAAACAAACTGTCGCAATTCCCTATTTCTTCCATTTGAGGACAGAGTAAAATGACATTTGTAGGGTTGCCAGTTTTCATAAAATTTTAAATAGTTATGTAGTTGTTGCCGATAATTTTATCGATAGATTGTGAAAGAAGATACAATTTTGCCAAATGACTGAATTGTGAATGTTACGACGTTCTAATGATTACTAATTGCGTTATTACCTTCTTTATTCTTATTTTGACAGTTGGCCTAATATCGAGATCAATTTTTATTCATATAGTAACAAGAACATCCGGATTTGATTATCTACATTGAATTAAAATGAAAATCTTTAAAATATGTCTCCTTGTTGTATTTTTCTTAAATATAGTTCTAAATACAATGTATGTATTACCTTACAAAAATTGACAATTCAAATGAACTTGTGCTCGGTAATTGGATGAATAATGGATCGAGGATGATTCAAATGAAACAAGTTCGGCTATTTATTCCATAAGCGTGGCCGATATTCACTCGATACTAGATAGAATATTTATCGACTGTAATCATTAGCTGCTCGCAAACGGACAACACTTTTGCGCAATGATTTGTCATTGTACTCCGTCTTAAAAAAAGACAGACAATGAGAATAGCGCTAAAGGCTCAATGTATATTCTTCTTCGTATCGTATCGACGGCATACAATATAATACTTGCCATCATGGTGAAAGGATTTGCTAATCGGCGTAAGGTTCTCGCCCATTGTTGCTCAGGTTGCGCCAGACGTACCGGAAAGGAATGGTACGTCATGCGGGGAGGCTCCTTTCGTGCACTCCAATGTGTATTAAAAAGTACTAAATATAATTTCATCCTATAGAGCCAAGCAAATATAAAAATAAATATGAGTTCTGTATGTAAAACGCAACCAGGATTTTTTAAAGTATTTTTCTCGATACCCATGGTCATATAGAATTTATAATGCTAAATTTGAATGCGGTATTTTCATTGTCATGTACACTGGGCGTTTAAGCGATCACAGAAATAGTATTAGCTGGACCTGAATCACTTCATAAATTGTGTACATTTTCATGTACATGGGGCTCTAAGGTTAAAATTGAACATTAACTTGTTCAATTTTTGTACTTTATGACGTATCAGGAGATGTACAATTGCATTATATGTTTTTTCTATCTATTTTTGTCTTTGAAAGTACTTTCTATGGGCTATATTCGTAGTGTATATACTCTTTGTTCATTAAAAAAAAATCACAGAACAGTACGTAACAAAAATATTTCTTTGTTATAGGAGTGTACATAATGTCAAAGAGTTCGGGTATTATGAAGATCGACTCCCCCGGCAAGCTGGGGCCGGGGCTCAACATCGACCAGGACGCCATCCGGAAACAGATCTTGGCTGCCAAACAGGTACACACACATACAGGTCATATACTTATTTTATTAAGGCAACGATTTAAAAGAATAAAATTCTATATGAAAAATGTTCAATTGTTAAATTTCGCGTACGGAAATGTGCACTATTGTAAATAAAGAAAAATAAGAAAGACTGCTGCTCTTTGGTGGGGAATCGACTTTCCACACAGTATTTATGTATAAAAAGGACATCTACTACTAACTACTACTAGTTAGTTAGTGGACTACTATTAGTGGAGAAGGTTTGCATTTTGAAAGCTGAGTAACATTTTACGCCTTTCTGAGTTACGACGTTATGCGATATACTTATATACGATAAGCTATTAATAACGATTATATACTAATATTTGATGAGTTTTCAGAAAAAAGTGGAGGAAAAGAAAGCTACGCCTGTATCTCAGGTGAGTCGCTACTATGCTTGACAGTTTCTAATAAATAATAACCAAGCATTTGGTGTGGTTGTCGTAAGACGTTATATCAAACGAAGGAAATCCCTATACTATTAGTTTTAACCAAATTACCAGAACACCCAGGTGAGGACCATTTACAAAAGATTTTTTCCCAAATTGGCCTACTGGAAATCGAACCTGGAACCTTATAATTTTAATGCCCTTAGGCTCAATTTATATTGCGGCGGAACGGAATGGAAGCGAATTTTTGTAACGATATTGTACGGACAACGGCACATCAGACTACACATTGTTGTTCGAAAATCGCCTCCAGTGCAACGGAACAAGATACGTCAATGTGTAGCTTGATGTGCTGGCGTGTGTACATAGCATAATGAACTTTATGGTCAATAGTGTAACGTACTAACTAGAGACTAACAAGATACGAGCCAAAACCTTCCACGGAATGCGCAAGCATTCCCGAGCTTGCGCGAGAATTTTGTTGAATATTTTGGCTCGTGTCTGGTTTGAACGTTACACAATTGACCATAAAGTTCATTGTGCTATGTACAATATAGTTTGTGTATCGCTTCCATTCCGTTCTGCCACAATATAAATTGAGCCTTAGTCCTGACCGCTGGACCTCCGAGACTATCCAAGGTTAAAAAAAGTTTTCTTACTGTACGTGCTTGCCCATTTCATTGTATAAAGTGCCTTAAATTATACATTTCTCAAACTCGCGCATTCAATAATTTGAACAAAATAAGAAGACATCGGGTTTGATCAATATCGTAGTACTTGAGGATTTACAATTTTGATAAAAATTTACATACAATAAAATCTATAAATAAAAAATAAAATCACGCCACGACATTATGAATTGAAAATTATTTAAGTAACTGTTTTCCGCCAAAACAGCATGTTAAAAGTCCGTCGTCATAATCCTAAATGTAAATGGTTTAGATAAAGAAGACCTTCGGTTCCGGTGGGCAACAAGTCACCGAGAAGACGATAATCACCCCGTCAGGACAGAAGATCATCCAGCGCACAATCCAGCGGCCTGTCACAGGCGGAGAGGGCAAGTCTCCCGTCAATATTCTCAACAAGAAACTCGCACAGGTATGTATTATTAAAGGAAACTGTTACCAAATCCCTAATTAAATATTAAATTTAATAGATGAAATTTCAGGTTCAATTGTTTGTAATGAATGGCTTGAAAATTACTTTGAATAATTGAGGTATTACTGGAAGTTTGAATGTCCACTGCTTACGACTTATAAAGCCTTAAAAATATAGAGCAGACCACGCCCAGTAGTACTATGTTGATACAGTCCAGATCTTTTATAGGCCTCTCTCTTGTAAGCAACTGTGCTGTTTTTTGTTGTAATACCAAGTGACGGGACGAACAAGTCATGCGCCTGATGGTAAGCTAAACGCCAAACCATAACAGTTGCAGAGCTTTAAGTCGCAACGACCTGAGGGGCGCTCCCACTTCGCAAGTCACCCTGAGACATAATTTGACAATGCCCATGTGCCTGTAATTTCGCCAGCACCCTTACCCTTCCAAACCGGAACGCAATAATGTTCGCATTACTGCTTGGCGGCAGAAATAGGTAAGGTGGCAGTACTTCCCTTGATAAACTCTTTCACAAGGAGCTCTTCTGCTACTAATAACTCTTCTCTCCTGTCTTTAACGTTAAGAGTGTGTAGGTAATATTAAGAGCTCATATATTTTATTTTGCTAAATTGTATGTTGCTAAGAATGTACTGTATGTTACGAATAGGGCGACAGCCTACTTCGCCGCGGTGGTTCCAGCCGTGGTCGCGGGCGAGGCGGCTATTCGGTCGCAACGGCTGCCGGCAACATCGTGCGTCTCCGGGACAAGAGCCTGCCCCAGATAGAGTTCGAGCAGGTGCGTATCAGATACATTATCCCTTAATTCGCTCTAGATAAAGCGGTCACAGTCATAGTCGTAGTCACCGGCAGCGGTTTCTAGCTTCTAGCTTCGTTCGCGTCGCACTTTAATTTCTAAGTGAGTAAGTCTTATATAAGCGACTTTGTACAGTCGGACGCTTCGTCGGACACGTCAGACGGCATCGAGGACCCGTTCCCGCGCGATCTGGGCCCTCTGCCGCCGCCCAGCCCCGAGCGCGAGCTGACGCTGTGCCCGCTGACCGGGAGGCGCTTGGCGCAGGCCGAGGGCGAGCCCACGCCGCCGCCCACCCCATCGCCCCCGCCCACGCCGCCGCCGCACACTGCCGTGCCCACCATGCTCATGAAGGTAACCGAGAACATGTACTATAAGTTAGAATAAGGTCGGTACACATCAAAGTAGTAGAAATTATTATGACCTATAACAATGCAAACCAAAGTTCTATTTTATTTTTGAATCTGAACATTGAATTCGAAATATATATCATAATTTAGTTTCAAGATAGAACAGCTATAAAAAAATACACATATCGTCGTTTACATAATTATATCTCATTCTATATTTCATCCTCTTATCCTTATTTTTAGGTGGAGATGTCGCCTGGTGGTACGACGGGAATGCTGGTGCAAGGCGATGGAGCCCAGCCTTCGTTACCAGTACTTACGGATGAGGATGGCGTACGTATTATTTGCACCATTAAATTTTTCATAATCCTGATGTCAACGACGACCAAACAGTTTTATTGACGTACCACGTTATAAAACGAATCATTTTTAAATCGTCAAACATATTTGTCATTAATAATTTTTATATACAGACTGAAGTGAAAGTCGAAGCAAGCGCAGTGAAACAGCTGTTAGAAGAGAGCATAGGAGTAGAGGAGGGCGACGAAGTCAGTCTGCTACAAGCTGGACACCCGCCTATTATGATCCGAGGAGAGGATGGAGTTTTATATCAGGTAAGATATTAATTTAATAAATTTTAACCTAAAGTTGTGCAAATTGTATTAGCATAAAACAAGAAAATGTACACTATGTAGAACTCTCTACAAAATAGTTCAATACTAAAACAATATTTGCGACCCGAATGTATGATTAAACTTGTTATGTCTAGGTGGCAGGCGAAAACGAAGCTGGCCAGACGCTTCTAGTGGCGGCGGAAGGTGTAGAAGGAGCCGTTGAGGGGGTTGAAGGGTCTGTTGAGGGCGAGGGAGATGGAGTTATGTACGTCACCAGAGAAGACGGACAGGTGAGAAACAGCAGCTTATCGCTTGAAAGTGGTAATAACGACGCTTCCCTACAACGACATGTCGCAACTTTTTAAGAATAAGCCCAAGCAAAAACAGTTAATTTTTTTATTTATTAATTGTTATACAGTTGTATTCAGAATGTGCAAAATTATATTGCAAAGGTGTAACACAGAGTTTTCTATTACTGGTTAAAATAATCACGAGACAACAATCAGTTTTTTATTCAATTTTCTGCAAATGTAATTTATTTGATGGTAATAAAATAAGATTAAACATGTAATGGTGTTGCAGGATGTGTTGGCGATAGACCCGACGCAGCTGGCGCAGCTGATGCCAGGTGGTGAGGCGGCGCCGGCGCTACAACAGGTGGCTGTGCAGGTGGAGGGCGAGCCTGGAGAGGACGCCACACAGGTCATTGCGCAGCTTGTGCAGGCCGACTTGCCCTCGCCAGGTTTGTTCTCTAATTAACTCTACTAAATATATGTCCACGTGCATTTTGCAAAAACAATTTGATTTTATAAATATGCGACTATTGTCGTGCACGGAGCCATTAGTAACATACATTACCGTAAAGATATTACGAACGTTTCATAAAGCACGCAGCATAAAAAATAGACTAATAAAATGACATAATCGAATTGTATGAGACCATGAAATGACATGTTACGTGAGCTGACAATACATGAGTGTAAACTTATTTTCTATTTCCAGGTGGCACACGGCGGGTAGTACTTCTCCTGCCCGACGGTAGCTTCACAATGACAGAACTTGACAGAGAACAGTACGAGTCCATCACAGAGGCCGGCAAAGCGCAAGAATGAGTCAACTTGGAGATTTGACTTGACTATAAAGATGACTCCAATGAGTCACTCGAACTTCGAACTTCTAAACCCAGTTGAATGTTTAATTACAATGCGGTTATTTAAAGCCTTTTTTGCATTTGTTAGTACATAGAATTCTTATAACAAAAAGGATCAACGTAGAGCTGCATACGTTGTTCTAAATCATCATCATCAACTTACATGCATCCACTGCTGGCCACCTTTCTCAGGGCGTCCAACACTACTTTTTCCTTGACATGATCGCCATTTCTTCGTTCTAAATACAGCTAGTAAATAATGACTTCTTTATTTCATTGTAATTGTAAATACTTTAGAATGGAAAATGATACATTGTACAGACAATTAGTACAGATAAAATTGTCTATTTAACCTAATCTGCGTTTATTGGTTTAGAAAATATAGACTAAGAGATAAAAAGAGGTTCTGTGGTAATTTCAGGAGCTGTGGTTAATCTCCACTAAATTTATTACAAATATTGAAATTGCAACATTTACTCCAGCACGAATCAAATGGTTAAAACTTACGGTTATCGGCATACTTGCACTGTTTATTATTCTACCGAATATTCATTGTAAAATATAGTAAAAAATGGCGAGTTGTAGTAGTCTTAGATATAGGTAGATTGTAAAATATTTTATTCTTTTTAATATTATAATGATGAGCAATGGTCGGAATAGGGTGTTCCAAATGAGTAAATAAATGTCTACGTATAGGCACAAGGCGTGATATTGAGTGGTTACAACACCCAAATATTAATGAATTTTCGAATTCCGGATTTCAGAAAATAGTTTTACTGCACCGTACATGCACCGTAAGATAAAACTACTCGCCTAGCAAGCTGAAGTTGGATTTCAAATTAATTCTAGAGGCGCAATGTAAAAAAAATGTAACCTTTCAGCAAAGTAAATATTTTTTCTGAGCTACAAGCAAAAATTCAACTTCAACTTTCTAGGTGAATAGTTCTATCCTACGATGCAGTAAAACTATATCTGGAATTCGAAAAAAGGAATTAAATAATTTTGGTGGTTTTAAACCACTCGATGTCACGCCTTGTACCTTATCTACTCATAAGGTACACCCTACTCCGACCATTGATGATGAGTGTAATAATTTTAATAAAAACTATTTAAGACAATGCTTCAATTTTTTTATTTAATTTAATTTGTTTCCAACACTTTTCTTTGTTTTAAGCGCTGCGTAACCGCAGACAATTATTCATTCATTCGGTGCCTCGCTAATACGGAATATACTTTAGTCAGATATAGTATCGAGAAAATCCCGCGACCAGTGTTGGGCGTTAATCAATTAAATTTCAATCAATAATTCAATCAGATTAAAAAATCAATTAAATTGCGACGCGGTCGCAATTGATTTCAATTGAATTGATTTTAATTGCAATTAAAATCAATTCCGGCCGGTTGGGGGGGGCCCGGTTCGGAGCCATCAGGCCCCTTAACTGGGCCCTAACCGGGGCCCCCACAACCAACGCCCTAACTCACCCCCATATGCCCTATAAATTTATCATAATTGTCAGTTTTAATTGTTAATCAAAAACATTGAAAAGATTGAAAATTGATTAATTGTTAATTGTAGATATTTGCGATTAACGATTGTTCAATTGTTAGTTGCGAGAACCGCAACTAACAATTGATAAATCGTTAATTGCTGTTTCGCAATTGACAATTAATCAATTGTCAATCTTTAATTGCCAGAACAATTAAATTTTGCCCAACACTGCCCGCGACACTGGGATAACCATTTAAAACGTTATTTATAACTTTGTGATCCTCTATGGATGGGCCGGACCTGTAATTTATCGGATGCAGTAGTATAAAATATTTGGTACCTAAAGTCTACGTTTTATCATATTTAAAAAGAGAAAAATATAGAACTTTGGACACAAAAAATTGTAGCTTTAATCATTTTAATGATGATGAGCATTGACTTGTGATAAAGGAAGAAAACTATATCGTAACGCCGCTTCCATATTTCCACAGCATCCACAGGGAAAAGTGGACTCCGTATAAAACCTATTGTTGGAGAATTTACCGAAAAATTTTAAGTGGAAATATTTCCGGGAAAATTCCCGAAAAATTGGAAAAATATAATTTCGAAGGCTCATTTATTGTGTTGTACGTTTAGATTTCTAAGATATTTATCTTTAATAATAAAAGAAATATCTTTTCAAGCTTTATTTAGCGTGAATTAAAAAATAAACTTTAATCTAAAAGCACAGACCTTGGATTCATCTTCGTTTTGCTCAATGGCGGTTCCTTATTAGTAATTCTAGATCTTTTTATAGAAAAAATGGATCCGTAGTTCGTTTTCGTTCAATAACTACAATTTTTGACAGATGTCAACGTCAAAATGTGGAAAATTAAAGGAAAAATATGATGTTATTAATGCTGGGTCCAATAATTTGAAATATTTCAGGTTACCACACTCGAATATTAAATAAGACTGGATGATGATATAGTACAAACATTTAAAAAAAAAGAAATTGTCACCAAAATTGAGTACAAAAAATTGACCTGTAATCACCCGGTCATGCAAAAATTTCCATTCCATGTAAAATATAATATGAGCTTTTGAAATTATATTTTTCCAATTTTTCGGGATTTTTGCCCGGAAAAAATTTCTACTATTTCAAATTTTTCGGAAAATTACCCAACAGTATTATAACCATCCCAATTAATATTGGGATGGACTAGACTGGACATTACATTATTATATAGAGTGAGCATTACCTATATACTAAATCTATGATAAGCATAAATAATTATCATTGATTGTTTACAAATTACACGAGTCATCTTTTTGTATAACAAAACGCAATGCAAGTGATGATTTGTCGCTTGTCAAAGAAATGTCATTTCGTAAAGTAGATTTTTTGGGAATGTGTTGAAATTACTCCAGAAATTAAATAATCTCGCATCTTGATAAATACACAGAACGTTAAGGTATATTGAAGTGGAAACTTACAAGGAGCATTGTGATTTTTTTCTAGGGAGGTTATGAGAATCTGACTTAATCAGTGAGTCTGCTAGAGGGCAGAAGTACTCTTTTGTGAGGTGCCACGATTTTGTCAGCAAAACGGCGGGAAGAAGCAATATGCGGAGGTCTCGAGAAGGCTATCAATACCAGCCTGTTCCTAGAGGGCCTCCAGAAGACTTCCTCGAACGTGAAAATGAACGAATGGCGGAAGAACTTAGTGGCAAAATAGGCACACTTAAAGACATATCCATACAACTAGGCGATGAAGTGAGGTATCAAGAGAAACTCCTGCGCGGTCTCGACGACGATGTAGACAGGAGTTCAGGCTTCTTAGGCAAAACTATGGGCCGAGTATTAAAATTAGGCAAAGGCAAACACAATTATTATATATTCTACCTATTTCTTTTCGCAATTTTTGTCTTTTTCCTACTCTACATTGTTTTGAAGTTCAGATGATAAATTACCAGTCCTGGTATCAATTATCATCATTCTAAATATTATTGACTTTGATTTCATTCCCAAGTGTATTGGTTTAGGATAATAAACTATGATTTTCCTGTAAATAATTTTCTTTTTGTTTGACATGGTGGTCTGATTTTCGTGAAAACAATAGATTTGTATTCATCTCATCTATTTATGAATTTGTTCTATTCTAACTATTAAAATTTTGCTAAAGAAAGCATCTGCTTTTGTGTTTGCCTGTAAGTTATCTTTATTAAATAATATGTATATGTTTCTTGTTAATAATGAAAAAATATTAGTATATGAATATTTGAAAATAACGATGGCTTTTATTGTGAAAACATTATCTGTAAGAAATTGTAAACATTTAAAATGTTTTGCAGCTACCAAACCTTTTAAAAAAGAAGATAATAATACTATATGAACACAAATAAAATCTAAGGTCTTGGACACCTTGCTTTATCCTAAGGATTAAAGTATTGTTGAAAACAAAATTAATAACAAAAGCATGTATTGTTAATCTTCAGTACAGTATAATTCTTTTAACATGTTACAATAATCTTCTCCTACATTATCTTTAGTAATTGAAATATACAATCTACATGGTGCTTTCAGAGCTATCGAACAACTTCTAATAGTATCTAAAAGAAAGGCAACAAGCCCACAAGCATTTTGTAACTTTTTCCTATTACAATATTGACTAAGATCATCTAAAATTATAGTACAAGGTATATTCTGCCACACAGGTAGTGTACACACACTCTCTATAAGAGCTTCAATATTCTTTGCGTAAAGAAAACTTATCATTTTGATATAATGTCGATTCACCGAACCAATATCTTGAGATAATTCAGGTAATTCATTCAATTCTTCAGGTAAAATGTAGAGTACTTTCCCATGTTTTGCTTGTAATAAAGCTTCTTGGAATAATTTTTTACGATTCATAGCCGCATCTTCGAAGGTGATTAGGCACCGCATATTTTCTTGCATTCTGGTAGTATCTGATTGGTGGTGTTTTGCTAAAATATTTTTGTTATATAATATAATTTTGACTTGAAAGAAAAGAAATTTGTGATTACTAAATCAAATGAGTACAAAGAATTCGTTCATTGTTAACGACACCCCCAAAACGACACCCCTGGGGTGTC